AATCACTGAGCTAAATCCCCAGCGATGCCATGCATATTTAAAGCAGTCCTAAATTTATATCTCCAGCTCAAACTTTCCTCTTAAACTTTAGAGATATCCTATTGATTTCTTAAATTATTACTCTTTAGATAAAGTAAACCTTATTTTCAGTGTGTCTTACAGCTAGTAAGTGATTTACTGCACATTTATATGCCCAGCCACTCTAATAAACGTTTTTTACTACAGATACACAGATTTATATGTAAAATTAATGATGCAGTTTTAAAATAGCTACAATTATACATGTATATATTGATGGAATCTCTTTGGTCATCACCTTTTCTAAAGAAGGCATAATACTATTTATTTTTAAAATATCAATCTTGTGAAAACAAATTTAATTCTCAGTAGGAAACACAAGATACTCTAACAAAAATATTTGGGAATGCATCATTGTAAACTGTATTTAACAAAATAATTTTAACATTAACATCAATGTTAGTGTGTGATAACAGTTCAAGAAACCACAGTATGTATGTATGTGTGCTCCAGAGAGTGTTATTATTCGGCTTGTTTTTTTTTTTTTTTTTCATTAAAGGAGCATTCTTTGCCTCTGTTAACTGGAATTCTAGCATATAATTTTGCATGTTACTAGGTTTGTAAGACACAATATATTTTATATTAAATCAATTTTATCATAGATATATTATGCTCATCAACTGCAAAAAATTGTAACCTAAATGATGAGAATGTCATGTTCTATTAAGTACCATTTCTTAAAGCACCTTTTGTTTTTGCAGGATTCATAACTGGCTAAAAAAATGACACACAATTACTTAATAATTTTTAAAAACGGATCACAAAATGGAGAAAAAAGACACTGGCCATTTAAATCTCGCTCATCAATTCAGTTCTCTTGCAAATTAAAGTTTAATGAAGACTCCTTGATCAATAGCTTCTTCCAGGTATAGCACATGAGTAGGATCTATTTTAAAAAGTACTTTCAAAGGTTTTCACATTAATGTTAAAAATGCACAAAGTTCATTTATAGATAGACAGATAGATATAGATAGATGGATGGATGGATGGATGGATGGATGGATGGATGGATAGATAGATAGATAGATATTTGGAGGGGTAATGGGGATGGAACCCAGAATCTTGCCCATGCAAGACAGTCATCAGAACCAGTGAGCTATATCCCTCCCTTCTAAAGCTACATTTTTTAAAAAAGCTAGTCTTCCTAGGGAAAAGTGATATAGTTTATTTTAAAAGATGTAAATTTTACATCATAATTCTTTTTTCTTTAGAGAAATAACTGTAAAAATAAAAAGGAAAGACTACAATGAAGAGTCCTCTGTAAATCTGCTGAAACTCATAATGCTGCATTAATTGATTATTGAATTATTCGTATGTACAAAGGTCAGATTTTGGAATAAAAGCATAGGGAATGAGGTTACATAATTTTTTGATTGTGCAATTAATTGGGTTAGAAGAAGAAATGATGGGGCCAGGGATTTAGCTCAGTGGTTCTGCCACCTGCCTTGCAAGCACAAGGTCCTGAGTTCAATCCCCAGTACACAAAAAAAAAAAAAAAAAAATGAACTGCACTACCATTGGCTGTAGCCAAGAGGGATATATGGCCTGAAAAAAGTGCATTCTGACAGAAGTTACTGACAGAAAGGAAACAGTATATATATCAGAGTCAACACACAACTTCTTGTCTAGAAAGAAATACACTGATGACATAGAACCCATCACCCTGGAGATAAAATGGAGTACTACTCAGCCATAAAGAATGAGAATCTAGGGATATTTATAGCTAAAAGGATTCACGTTGAGGTGATACTCAAGTGAAATAAATAGGGCACATATGTATAAATACTGAATAGTTTCTCCAGTGTGAGAAACTGAAAGTGTAAGGACTAAAAGTTATAACAGATAATGTGAAATAGGAAGAAAAGGTGCAAAGGGGAAGGGGAAGGTGGAGGGGTAGGGAAAAAAAGATGGGAATGGGATTAATACGAGAAGAAGAAAAAAATGGAAACAAAGTCATTGTAGATAGGGTGGGGTGGAGGGGTTGAAGGGAGGGCAGAGAAATGGGGAAAAAATAAGAACCAGGATGGATTATGTAAAGGTGCAGATTTCCGATGAGAAATGTCATTATATTGTATACTTTAAATGTACCAATAGAATTCAATAATTTAATTAAATAAATAAAAACAAACATCACTGAAATCCAGAGGAGTAATATTTTATTTGCTAACAATATTTCATCCAAATTATACTTGATAAAATAGTAGCAATAGTATTGCATTTTAAAGGGGAAAAAATCAAAATTAGAGGTGGTTGATAGTAAAAAGGATCAATATTTTACAACTCTTTCCTAAATAGTTACTAAAATTTTAGTATCCTAAATTTAAATTTAAAAAGGACTGAAGTTTATACAACAAGAATAGAGATTATTTCAACAAACACAACACAGTTATCTGTAAAAAGCATGTTTTGTTCAGGTTGACCATACTTTCCCAATAAAATATATAATCATTTGTGAAATAATTATGATAATAATAATGTTTATGAAATGTTACTTGAGATATTTCACATATTTAAATTACAATTATACAAAATTTTACAACTTTAAGATTTTCTTATTTAATTTTGCAATTATTGTATGTTGTTAATACCAAAATGTACTCATAATAGAATATTATAATTAACATTATAATTCCCATTCTATAAATGAAGAAACTAGGATGCACAAATATTAAATACTTTACACACATTTTCACACCAAGCTGACTAATTCTAAGGATGTTTACTTTTATAATTATTAATCATTATGTTATGTTTACACAATATCAAATAAAACATATTTAGGAATTTAATTAAATTAATGTTTCTTTTATATTTATTATTGCTGCTTATTATGATGATACTATTAAGGTCTAAAAAAAACTATATTCCCAAAAATAATTTCTCTAATTACCATCCAAATAGAAAACAAGCTTCACTAAAATTAATGAAAATAATTGCCACCTTGATAGTCCTAAAGTAGTCATATTTTATACATTATTCTAATAAATTTTATAACGTGTTATTTAATATATGATATATAAATTATTTAAATATATAATTTACTAGTAAATAATCATATAATATAAAAAATTTTAAATAATTATGAATAGAGGAAACATTTACAGGAGGGACAGTTTTAACTCATACAGCATAAGATCTGCATTAATGATTTAAAGCTAAACTCTAAATTTATTATTACATCTTGCAAAAGAAAATTGAGTAATCTAGTCTCATGAGGCAAAACCTATGGTGTTTGTGAACTATCTTTAAATTTAAATGTAATATGAGAGCAATCCTAAATATTTGCCAAGTTATGTATGAATGCATAGCTCTCTTATTTAAATTTCCAGTGACTCACAGCAAGAGAGAAGAATATAAGTAATATTGCATGTAGACTGAATTAATTTGAATAAATCAAGGTAATATATAAAATTAATAAAGAATTAGCCAGGATGAACTCTATGTTAGAAAAGATGCTTAGTTCCCAAACATGGGAGATGGATGTTGCATTTGTTGATGTAGGTATTGTGCATATGTTGTTTAATTCTTGGTTTTCTTCTTAATTACTTCAAAGACTTTTTAAAAAGGCATTCTACTAACAATTTCATTTCCTCCAAATTATTTTGATGATTTGAACAGTTAACTATGTATTCAAATACTTGAAAGTCATAGCTTACCAGAAGTCATATGTGATGTATTTGAATTTGTAAGAGTTCATGTAGATAAAAAATTAGTGCTTCTTACACTTGTATAAAATAATTATTCCACTTAAATTTGTATTTGGAGAAAATGTTTCTACTGATGAAATAATTTTCAAAGCAAGAAAGATTTTTCTTTGTATCAGGAAATACACTCTGTTTTCACTTAAAGAATAAAATTAATGAAAATTAAAAGAAAAGCTGAAAAAGCTCTTGGATACTCTGTAAACAGTATGATGTGAAAATTCAATTACTTCAATAATTAGTGTAGACTTCTTCTTGAACTTTGTAATCAGTTTCAAATTTATATGGCAAACCACAGTAGCACCTTTATTCAGCAATCTTATCATTGCCATTAAAATTATAATATTGAACATTATCTGATTTGACTAAAAGATGCTACATTTCTTCTGAAAATTATTCATTTATTCCCATCTGTGGAAAGCAATTTGATGGGACCTTTCAATGCCAATTTTTCATAGATTTTTATGAAAAGCTAGTTTATATTCAACAATGTGTACATGATGACTTTATCTCTAAAACAGGATACATAAGAGTTTTATAAATATCTAAATTAATTTTGATTAAACATCTTATTTCCTTTTTGTTTTCAGATGGGGTAAGTCGCAATAGATAGTCTTTGTACTTAGGGCAGAGACATCCCTGTTTGTGTTCTTATGCAGAGCCAGGGATGGAATTAATGTGCTGTGTACAATCGCTCACTGAAAGACATGTTGAGTGCACTAAGGCCTCATCCTCTTTATGACTAAAAGAATTTTCTGACAGGTACATTTCAAAACCAGATAGCTGCAGGAGAACAGCATCATTTAAAGCTTGATTCTGAGATCTGTGGAAGTCCATTTTCTCTCCTCCATCTCTGACTTTGAAGAGCAGACATGGAGCATATATGAGAAGTTTGGGAGGGAGCGGTAAGGGGAGAAGAACAAATTCAACTTTTCCTTAGGAGATCTAAATTACTTACACGCAACCTCAGGGTAATTCAGTTTCCCAAGAAGGCCTAGACAGTGCCCGCAGTGCGCGAAGAGGGATTCTTCAGGGTTAATTCACCTCTGCATCTGCTGAGATCCCATGGCCTTGAAGTCTGTGGAGTCGCTATGCATCTTTATTTCTTTTGGGTGTGTTTGGATCTCTGCCTGCTTACTCCTGCGCTCATACTCATGAAAAGGAGCAGGCTGGGATGTTTTATCTCTTGTCTGAGCTTGCTTCAATTAAATTAATGGACCCATTCAGCTCACTCTTTCCCCTTTCAGGCGCACCCCTGATGAATACATTAAAAAGATCTTAAGTCTCAAGATGGTACATCATGGTATTAGCCAGGCACTCACTTCTCTCGGCCTTCTTTTTCTGTAAATCAAATAATTAATGAGATCTCCCCCTCAATGAAGCACTTCATCAATATTTTGTGGCAAAGGAAAAAAATGTCCACTTTGCTTGTTGTAGGGCTTTTATCTCCATCTATGTAGGATTTTGTGGGCAAATGTACTAATACTGAAACGACACAATATTGACTGATCCTCGCCGGTGGTTTTTTTTTTTTTTTTCAAAACTGAGAAGGATTAGTCAGAGGCTGTATATGCTATTCAACAGAGAAGCAAGTGGAAGCCTTGTCAATATGCTGTGGATGTTTTGTACTCAATTATTAACTTGTAAACATGAAGTGGGACAAATTAGTTTTATGGGCGTTTGATGTCCCTCGAGGGATGCGTAGGTTTGCTAAGGAAAGCATGTTCACTTCTTCTCTTTTGCATTAAAAACTGAAAGTTCTCTTTTTTACTTACAGATGATTACTTTTTAGTTTTAGGATATTTTGTCCTTTAGCAATATATTTATTTTAAACACACCAATTAAAGATTACATTAAATATGTAAATGACTAGTATAAATCTAACTTGCTTCATGAAAAGGTTCCTTTTTATACTCCACAGAATTTACTTATTAAGCTAGAAGAAGGAAGGCAATTCTATCGGCTTTGTGCAATGCTACCCACGCGGGCGCGTAACTATTTCTCAATTCTGTAAACAGGGCAACACGGAAAGAATTATGAACATTTCTCTAGCTCATTTACTATATGGATTGAAAAGCAACAGAAAAGATAAATTTGCTTCCTAAAGCATTTAGATTCACTTTTGGATGAAAATTGATCAGCCATATTTGAGATTTCCTTCAGTACATAATGCCAACCAATATGAGTGAGAGCGTGAATGGAAATTGAATTCAGAGAGAAGAGATGAGAAATATGAGATGGAGAGAATTTAAATCTGATTCATACTGCCAGATACGGAAGGAAATTAACTCACTCCACCCAAATTATTATCACCCCAGAACACAACTTGACAAGCTAGTAAGGAAAGGGAACATGATATAATGCTTATCCTTGTAGATAGTGAATTTAAGCAACCAATCTTTT